AGTCAAACACAACACTCGAGATCCAGCTATGTTGAGGCTACATTTCGCATGGCCAGCATATCAGCGGATTCTTCTACACATATTGATACACAACCAGCAAATATAGCTGCATTTGAAAACAAATGTCACGAAACTCAAAGAATCAATAACTAACTTTATGAATCCATTTGCAACAGATAATTGGGATGTGTTTATTTGTTTAAGTTCAGGGGATCCTGCACCAGAGGAGATCGAAAAGAGTCTGTTTGATGCCTACCAAAATGGACTTGAAGCACACAAAAAGCTCGCCCAAGGACGTCTGGTTGATAAAACTGTTTGTTTTTATGCAACATTGAAAAACCTTTGCCGATACAAAGAACGTTAAGAAAGTGACATAAACACAGAAACAATCTTGTTGAAGTTAAGGCCGCTGGCAATGTCTTTGGTCAGCTTATCATGTTATCAGAAGAAAATGACATTATCCTTGAAAAGACCCTTACGTACCCGCTTGGACCAGTGCCTTGGTCTCTAGCTACAGCAGATGTTTTACCAACAAAGACTGCCAAGGCAAAACTAATGCATGATCTCGAAGGCGATTATACAATGAACAGAGGCCAGGTAACAAAAACATAAGATTGATATTAGAGGAATTGTCTAAAGATAAATATGCAGGGAAATTGGACGGAAGGAAAATCTTGTGCTTGTGAAGAGACATGTGTATGCCTCAAAAGTAAAGATGGAAAAGTAGAAGTAATACCGATTCCAGATCTACATATGTCTCAGGAGGAAGCCGATACCAGAATTATGCTACATATGTCACATGCGGCTGAAAATGATGACAAAGCAATAAGTGTACGATATCCTGATACTAATGTTATGATATTACTTCTAACGTAAGCACAGTCTATCAACAGATCAATACTATTTGACACTGGTGTGGCTAATAATAATAATAGAAGACTGTTGAAAGTAAATAAAATCATTGATAGACAAATTAAGGAGAAGATCTTTGCAAAGCATTGATTGGGCTACATAGTTTCATCGGATGTGATTCCACGAGCCCTTTTTCATGAGGGGGAAAATTAAAGCCGTAAACATGTTTTTATATATATCCTGAATATATACTTATAACCAGTCTTTAAGAGAATGGGCGGGAGTGTTGATATTCAAGAAGAAGATTTCAAAATTCTAGAACAGTTTGTTTGCATTTTATAAAGGAAAGACAAATAAAGTGACATAAATAAGTTGTGCGTTGACATTTTCAGACAAATTTTTAGACCAAATGCAGACATACTTACAATTACCTATGTTCAATACCAACATATATTTCCACATTAAAGATGCATATTTTTTTAGATCAAATTACCAAGTATTTGTGTGGTGAAATGCCTTTTGTCAATTCCAAGTCCTGATAGATATGGTCGGAATATTGGTACAACCGGAGGTCCCACATATACATTGTACCTGGACAGAGGAAAATATACTACCACCAGGATTAATTGAAATCATAGCTAATAAAAATGCTAGTGAAGTGTTAGAAGATGATTAAAATGTTCAAGAAGGTGATCTAGAGGATATTGCGATAATTGAGATGGAAATTTATATTGATGTAATTTTCGAAGAAGATCTCGAGTAATAATTAATATGTGACTAAAAAACTGTATTGCAAAACATTGGAAGGGGGGGGGGGTAATTTACATTCTTTAATAGCATTATCATTAACCAAAATTGAACAACAAAAAGTCTATTTAACTTCATAATATCTATACAAACAACTTTTTCATGATTAAGTGATGTTTTGCTTTTTTTTTAAACAAAACCACAAAGTTTATATTAAAATGTTAATAAAATAAGAGGAAAATGGCGGCCATTTTGAATTTGGCGGCCATTTTGAAAAGTAATAACCTCAATTAATTATGAAGTAAATCATTTTAGAGACATTGTCTATGATCTAAAACAAAAACCGACTACAAAACAATTCATTTGGTTAAAAAAATAATGGTTATTTCAATTAGGCTGTTTATTAAAAAATTGTGACAGGGGCAGATAATTCACATTGGCTTGCGTCTTAATGGTAAACGTTTCAGTCAGACAACAAGTTGCAAATGTCTTCCTATATATTTATCTTTAAAACTACATGGGTCCCATAAAATACTCAGAGGGGGTAACCTTTTCCATTTCCAGCTCATACTCTAAACTTCAGACGGTTGACATATGAATGTTCTAACCCCAAATTTACCGAGGAATAAAACAAGGAGAGATAATTAAATCAAAGCACAGAAGGCGCTGAATTTGTTTGGGTCTCAGAATGTCAGAAAGGTGGATGTTGTGAGATTATAAACCGATTTGTTTTTTGTATAGTGCCACCAATGCTTTCCAGTGTTTTAACTGTAATAAATTGGCTTTAAGATTTATTGAAACACTGATATTCAATTCAATGTTTATTTGACTTAAACAATTTGAAACAATCAGATGCCTTAACTAGGATTTGAACTCCAGACCTCTCGCTTCCTAAGCGAGCGTGAAAGTCCAAGGCCACGGTGGGGTTATATGTTAATGGCCTGAAGAAAACCATATTATTCTAAATTACCCTTATTATTTCGACGCTAACTGTTGTTTAACACAGGTGTAAGTAATCATGGAGCTTACTATAAGCATGTTTTTCAATAAAAATGAATGAAAAGCATACGGCATCAATTTCGACCACAGCGATATTCGAAATCCGGGTTTTAGTATTGCCAATAAAGCTAAGGGACAAACTATTAAACTGAGCCTGCAATTCGTGAAAATAATATCACAATGCACATGCTTTTTACATAAAGTTATTAAATACAAATATAACAACATATTTGTTTACTTGATTTTTACGAATCAAAATAAAACTAATTAACACAACATGACATTAACTGCTTATAATAACAGCTCCTTCCATAGACCAAAATAAAAAGCATTCCATAAGAGACGACGCCGTGCACCGGCGTCGCCAATAAAACAATATTAGAAATCTTCGACCATTCGGGAAATTTTTTTGCTTGAAAATTACCATTATTTGATTGGTCTGACGACCCAAACAAATAAAAACGGGGCAAAATAGAGTTATGGTTTTGTCAAAGCACTCCGCCTCAATGCCCTCTACCACTGTGTGCCGTTTAAACAAATTATCTCTAAGGGCTTTCCGGTTACGTTCTGGACAAGAATTTCCTAAAAGGGGAGACAATTCAAAACGGGACAAAAAAGGTTTATAGTTCTGTGGCACAGCACTCCGCCTCAATGCCCTCTACCACTGTGTGTAAAAAACGAAATACGCAATACCTTAGCACAAATATTTGTTATATGATGTCTGTTTTGGGTTTATTTAAGTTCAAAAGATATCTGTCTAATTAAATTTATCCGAATTCATATTGATATTATAAAACCAAACGAATGCACTAAAAGTCGTTTTACCAGCTATATTCTTAAGTTAACTATGAAATCTTAACAATATTAACGCTGAACTTACAGCAACTACATTGTTCTTGTGAAGATAGGAATGTAAAAGCATTATTTCTTCGCATAATAGAAATGGATATCTATAAAATGATAACACATATAAAAAGCAGTAATCAATCTCCATATTTTAATTTTAACTTTCATGAGTTTATCGTACCTGAAAAATATAATCTTAACTTGTATGATAAAAAAGAAATAGTTATTAATTTCTTGATCCTTCGAAAGTAATAAAAAAAGTTGCATACAGGTATACACTGAAACATAGGCCAGCCGACAATTTGCCCTGCTCATAAACGAAATTATAAAAAGCCCCAAATCTTTCAAAGGATAAACCGGTGAGTTTGATAAACATCCTTCAGCATGTTCTGTTATAATATGAAGTCAATGCATTCAATAATAACAAAGTTACAGCCTGTTACAGCCAAGAAAATGAAAATTTCAATAATTTGACATTCAAAATCAAGGTCATTTATGAGTGAAAGTCAAGGTTTTTGTAGGTTCTCAACACTATAAAGTGTTGAGAATTGAGTACCGCTCAAGCCGGTGATAGGGGGCTTGAGTGATGTTGCACTTATTCATTATCACTCATGTACAGACTCAATCAAACCGAGTCTGCAATTCTTATGTTATTTTGTTGTGATTAATGCTTCCGAGGGATCACTTTGTTTCCAGAATTTTGTCTGTTTAACTTAAAGGGTTAGCATTTAAGGTTATGTTTAAGTATGAAGACAATCCATTCAAAAATAACAAAGTTATAGCCAATAATAGCAAGAAACAAGCATAATTTGGACATTTGACATTGAAGTTCAAGGTCATTTATGGATGAAGGTCAATGTTAGTCTGTCATGCTGAAAGGCCTTGTCCCAAGGTTTGTTGTGGCCAAGTATGAAGACAATACACAAAGAACTTAAAATAGATAAATACAGAATCCTTAAAGAAAGCCCAACACGGCAAAATTGAAAATGTTGCAGGCTCGGTTTGATTGAGCCTGTTCATGGACGGTACTGGAAAGTGCAGGTTACCGTCCACGCCCCCTAGCACCGGCTTAAGCAGAACTCAACATTTAAACATGCAATAGTAAAATTTTGAATTTAGAAACATCCGCAGATGTGTTCATACGGCGGTTACCATGGAACCTTCAATGTGACACTTCCGTGCCATTCCATGAAAAGCGGCGTATGGTCCCCAAGTAATAAAAAGCGTGTGCCCTAAACGAGAAAACAATGGGCAGAACTAAATAAAATGGAATTTTGAAAAGGGATCAGAGGTTCAAGGTACAAGTTTGCGGACAGCAACGGTAACGCTGCCAGGACTGTAATGTTCAATACCTACTTTTCTTTCAAAAAAAGTCGAGCTCAAAAGGTCTATGTTCGATATGAAAATAATTATAGAAAATATTTAAAAATCATTTTTAATGAATAAATAGGTAATAATTTGTATAATTATAGCTATAAAACTTTTCTCACAAATGCTAAGTAGAATCTTCTTCAGTTAGACAATTAGAGGTTTCAGTAAGACAATAACTCTTTCTGTAAGTTTTAAGTCTATTTTTTCAATAATAAGATAATAAGAATGCCTTAATATAAAATATTACAAAAATAAAAAAAAACAATTGCACCAAATGTAGCCAATATTATACAATTATTGTACGCCGATGAGGTGATTTTTCAAGTCCGTCTTCAGCGCTAATTCAGGGCTTGTTTTAGTAAAAAGGGAATCGGAAGACTTTCAAAGATGACCTTAATGTTTTTTATTTGGTCAAATGGTAAAAACAGTTCTGGTAGGAAGATTTAGGTGAATATCCAAGTTCATGGACCTTGCTTGTTTGATATTCACCGAAGCCGAATGTGATGTGTTGATTTGTAGATGGACAAAGTAGGCAGAGTTCATAAACTCCCAAGTATCTTGGTAAGTACTCTATTTTAGTAGTTTTATGGAAAAAACACAAAGATTTGTGAAAATTAATTACGTATGTATCCCCTTTATGCTGATGGATTGTCTTCAACGGTTTAGACATCAGATTTGCAGGCGACTAAATGGATTCGAATTGGATTCGAAAACTAGAGTCTGTACATCTCTTAGCTCTAGCAGGTGAGATGGTTCTGTCCCCTGGTGTTACTTTCAGTTTGTAACATCCGAGGTAAGCTAATAGATATATTTCCTGTTTCGGTGCCATATGACTTAAATTGTGTTGGTGCTCCATACAAAAAATACGAATTAAGCAATTTACGACATCTGTCACGAAATTAATTGTGTCTGCAAATTTCAATTCGTATGTTTTAATGTATACATGCAATAGTATTATTTCATGCAATACACTAAAACTAGGTATTACTGAAATACTGTTGGGAAAAGGCGTAAAATGAAGCAAACAAACAAACAAACAAAACTAGGTATTATTTCTGAATGTTCATTTTTAAAGCTTCAGCTTTCTTTTTGGAGTTTTCATCAGCCTTTTTTAGAAGATTAAAAGATGACAAGACAATTATAAAAGTTAAGAACATGAAAACGCTTAGAACTATGTTTGTGTATGCGAAATACATTTGAGAAAACTTATCCATGAGGTAGCCAACTAAGATTGGTACTACCATATTTCCTGTCGACATAAAAATAAAGAAAATGCTCGTCATTTTACCAGTAAGTGTTCTTATATTTTTTGACTGCCATGAAATAACTAATCCAAAAATTGCAGACATTCCAAATCCTATGACAACAACCGATATCCACACCAGACTATTTATAGCCCATATCACGGCTAGTAAAAAAAACACACCGCCACAAGTTAGGAATGAAAAGAACATAATTATCATGGTCGAATTCTTAACAAATTTTGTCATAATTATACCAGATAAACGGCCAATTGCAAAAGCAATCCAAAAAGCAGACGACGCGGTGGATCCCTTTGCCTTACTCCATTTTAATTCCGATATCAGAAAAGTCATTAGAAATCCGACAAAACAATGTTCGCTCACAACATAGAACAATAAAGACAAAGCTATAAGTATTGTAAATGTGATTTTCAGTTTCTTTGTCAGAAAATAACGTTTTTTGGACTCACTTGAACCCGTTGTACATTCAGAAAATATAGTATTAGAAGGCTTATAAACGTTTCCGTAGAAAAAGCAGACGATTAAAAACAAAGAAGCTGATACCAACAGAACTGATGCTGTTATACTATACGGTACGTAAATTCGAGATTTTCCGTATTTACTGAAGGAATTATTCATTACAGTCTGCTGTGTGACATTCCCAAAGTCATATATCAGAGCACTGGTGTTCAAATAGGATGAAGTCGTATTTGAGTAGTTCAAATATTCTTTGGAAGACCCAGCGTCCGTTAACATTGTTTCCGCTAAAAACGACTCTGCTATTAACGGGGAAATTATTGCACCGACACTAAAGCTAAAATGTACTGCTTGCATAAATGGTCCGGCATTTTGTTTCCATATAACAGCCATATCAGCAGTGGCAGCTGAAAACAAACAACACAGTTCTTATTAAAGAAATGAAGCTTGAAGTTTATCTTCAAGATCTAGAGTATCACATTAAATTGTAGAATTTGAGCCGCGTCACGACAAAACCAACATATTGGGTTTGCGACCAGCATGGATCCAGACCAGCCTGCGCATCCGCGCAGTCTGAGCAGGATCCATTCTGTTCGCTTACAAACCCTATAACAAGTAGAGAAACTGATAGCGAACAGCATGGATCCTGATCAGACTGCGCGGATGCGCAGGCTGGTCTGGATCCATGCTGGTCGCAAACCCATTATGTTGGTTTTGTCGTGACGCGGCTCATTTGTCTTTAGTTCCATATGACAAAATGTTATCAAACATATTAAGATAAATAGGAAATATTTGAGCTGAAAACATGATATTATATTACCTTGGCCCTTTAAATTCATTGATTGATAAGAGGGGTTTAAAGAGTTCATACACCAGAAACACTCATTTTCAAACATGTAGTTCAACCAACGAATGAAAATCATATTATTGAGTTTTAGAAACACATAAGAATCATATTATTGTAAATGTGTGTTGTCCCTTGATAGGACAATATTAATTGTTAATAGAGACACCGTGATGATTACAATCATTCCATTTTTCAACACTGTGCGTTTAATTCTCGATCGTGCTATATCACATGCACACGCATCTATACCATTGTATACCCACTTGCACTTGATTACAGGGAAGTCAAGTATTCTTATTTAAGCAAAAAAGTGGCATATTTGGTATCAAACTTTGCGAAAATGTATTGACTACACGATGGTTTACTTTTATTTGTAATTTGATTATTATCAAAACTTTGTTTACGTATCAACAGTCGAGGGATGACAAATAAAAGTTGTAGAAATGTACTTTTTATAAATGCATTTTGCCTTTGCGTTACGTCAGATCATACAGTCTCGATAAATTTAACTCATGTATGTACACAGAATTTCCAATTAAACAAGTGCCTACTTTCTTTAACAAATGAGTATATATCTTCCTGATAACTTAAAAAAATCGCCTACTTAAATACTTGAAAAATCCAAGTGTTGAATGATTGTTTTGCAAACTTAGAAGGAGTAAGGTACGGCCATCCTTCTGTTATTATTTTCCTTTTACTTGGAGGTTTAATTTACTTTATTAGAACATAATCAAATTGAAAAAATTAAATTGTAATTGATGCCAAATTGAATATTTTACAAATTAATGATGCTGTATATGTCATGAGTTGTAAGTGTGACTGAAAGTAGAACCTGTATCAAGAGCCCCGTTGAACACACCGTGTAAGGCATGCACGACAAGCATGGCAGGCAGGTAGGTACACCACGGTGTTACCGCTGTAACGACACCCATGCTGCTAACAATAGTTACAAACACGCCAATCTTGTTGAATCGGTCATATCCCAGCCCGCCGCAAAGTGAGCCAAGCAATCCGCTGAAATTATAATTAATTAAAAAGTAATAAATATAAGGTAAATAATAAAACGGCTCTCAAACTACAATATACTGTAAACGATGTAAAGTAATAGCAATACTCGAGAACAACACTATAATGCTAACACTATATCAATCACTTTCAAGTCCGCTTAGTACTGGTGTCATGTTAAGAAACATGCACGTGACCCAAGTAAAGCTCGAACACATGACACATTAAGCCACGAGAGGCAGACACCTTAACCACTAGGCCACCACTCTCCTTTGTATAGACTGATGTATAGGGCGAGTAAAAGACGTGATAATCAACAATAACAAGTAAATAACACGACTTCTTGGTTAACAAACATTAGATAGTGCCGAATGTACTTAAGCTGCACCACGTCATTGCAAGGGCATTTGTAACGATTATTTCAAGTCAGCATGATAAAGCACTTATTGTTTCTTCCGCTTGTAATTACTGTAGTGCATGTATATATATCCCCGATTAGTTGTATATCCACTTACCCTAGTGATTTTGTTGTGAATATCCAAGACGCTGTTGAAAGATCAACATTCATCAATAGTCTTAGATCTGGTAAAGTAGGGCCAATTAAAGCGTTCCTCCAACCCTGTAATGAAACTAATTATTTAATTAAATGGAGCTTATGTGAGACTTTTACACGATAACGATACAGATTCACGGTGTCAAGGGTATACGCATCATTTTTCCGCGTACCGCCGATAATTTATCATCCTGCGCGCAGCACCGTATCATTTTAGACAAAACAAACACGTAAACACAACATGCATGATGGAAAACGACCTGAAAGTCACACTTTTGAAGTAAGTGTATTCATTAAAGTGTGTCTACGGAATATTATGATCATTGAAGCTTATGTCTTTAGCTAGTTTTTATCAAAGACTTTTACGATTTCTTTGTTTTAATGAAAACAGCTAGAGCTGGTTTAGGGAAAATGTGCATTTGGAAAACTTCTAAAAGTGATAATTATGTTGTCAATCAAAATATTTATTTAATATAACTGTAAGAATCAAAGATATATATACACAGACTCTTGCAGACAAATTTAAGCTGTTTAATTTCTTAAAAAAGTCATAAAAGTGTGATAACTGACCGAGTTCTTGGTACCGTATCATGGGTCCGCAAATTGTGGCACCGTATACATTAGCGCTAGACTTGCACCGCATCATGATGATTAACCTTATGGTGAAAAATCTTATTTGTATTTATTTATTGTTATCCATTTAGGCGAGACCTGTAGATGTATATTTATTATTTTTGAACCAGAGGAAAATGCATAAATAGAAGCACACCTGATTCTTTTGTGTGCCCGGCCGTGGGACCACGGTCATATTCGAAAGAATTTGAGTCGATACTTTATTATTAAGATCGGTTCGATTAACACAACCAGAGCGCAAATTGCTAACATTCTTGATCATGTAAAGAAGCAAGTTTTTAGTGAAAATGTTAAGTATATTTAACACAAATATGGATATATAATTGCATACTCTTTGAGATAGTGCTTACGGAGAGAGTTTCTAAAAAACAAGATTTTCAAGCTTCCTACTCAATCCGTGCAATTTAATATTTGTCAATTATCATGTAAATGAAATGTTTATAAATAAAATATTGTTTATACTAAAGAATTTGAGTAAATACATTGGAAGAGTTAGGAATCGTGACTTCTAAACTGAAACGTCGGACTTGGAATTCTGGCATCGCTTGTCGATGTGTGTGCTCGAACCCCGCCAGCGGCCATCCCATGTTTTATTGAGCAAGAAACTTACATTGTTGTGCTTAAAGTTATCTATAAGTTTTATAATAGTCTATCAATAACTGGAACTACAAGGAAAAATTCAAGCATGCCGACAAAGATATGTACATGTGTAATGGATACAGTACGAGTTATCTTTCAGAAGTGTCTTCTTACAAAGATAAGAAGACAATTTAAAGAAAATACGAATATCTGAATTATACGACATTTAATTGTAAAGAACCGATAAATAAATAAACACATTTAATTATGAATAGAAAACACATTTAATTATAAATAGATCTATGTATGTTCACGTTGAAAATATAAAGCTATAAAAACTATTTGCATGGCCTTTAAGCTTTGGACAGTGAAAGGTGTAAGTAAATTGTATTCACACGGAACTTTTTTGCACTTAGTCAATCGGACTAAAATTATTTACTTTGAGAAAGTTAAAGATGTGTTTAAATAAAAGACGTTCAAATACTTTTTCTGTAGTGTTCAAAAGTAATATGGGTCTGTAGTTATTTGGGAGTGATGTATCGCCCTTTTTGTGAACTGCAGTGACATTCGCCTCTTTCCATGTGATTGGAACTTCACAACATCGTAGAGAAGCATTGAATAAGTCACCCAAGGGGAAAGACAGTTCATGAGAAGTCTGGCTCTTCTTAATAGATAAGAAGCGAGATTTAACATTCTCTTTCGTGGACTTTTTCTATAGTCACTGGTACTGTAAATAAGTTACAGTTCTCGAATGAAACATGCGAAAATTAAGTTTAATAATCGCGAAGATTTTTATATTTCGATTCGCACGAGGATTTGAGTTAAGCATGAGACAAATTCAATATTGAATGGCGCGAAAAGTATCTTGCGAGTATGTAAAATCTTGCTACTTTATCTATAAAAATACAGAAAGGCGGACAAAACTTTTAGAAAAAATCCTGCTTATCAATAGCAGTCCTTTAAATGGCCCAAGAAGGACACCGTATATTTCATTTGTACTAAATCCACGTGGAAAGTAACGGTTATTTAAAAGTGTCTTCTTACTATAGTGGCTGATTTGGAATGCTCTTGTGCGTTAACACGCTAGCGCCAACACGACAAAGTGCCAAACGGTGCGTTGTCGGGCTTTCGTCTTGTCGTCCTGTCGCTAACGATGTACGCCAAACGGTGCGTTGTCATGCGGCGTGTTGTCGCTATGTCACATTGTCGCTCGGTTCAAAGTCGCTCGGTTCAAATCGAAGGATTGGCTTATAAGCCAAGCGACATCACGCCACACGACCACGCGCCATTTGGCGTGCTTCACTAGAGACAGGACGACAAGACGAGAGCGCAACAATGCGCTGTTTGGCGCTTTGTCGTTTTGTCGCTAGCGACAAGACGAAAAGGCGATAACGATACCGACAACGCACGCGCAATGTACCAAATCAGCCACCATACCTTACAGACGTAAGAAGACACTTTTTGAATAGCTCTGCTGGGGGTATGGTCTTATAATAAAGGGAGGATATCTCAAGCACATAGTTGCCACCTTTCTTAAATTCAGTTACATGCGTAAGTTACGATGCCCAGTCAATTTGTTAAGAAACAAAAATACAAATGCAAAAAAGAAATACTATTTTAGAAATATGAGCTTTGGCTTGCTTGTGTGTTGTATTAACAAATTTGAGAGTAAAAGTTTAATTACTGATGTCACCAAATATTATGCAATTCCCGAGTCCAAAGAAAAGTTGAAATCCACAACAGACATAAAATGCAACTTCTACGAAAGCATAGAATTTTAATAAGAAATTATCTTTAAAAAAGACTATAGAGGTCCCCCCCCCACCCCCGAAAAAAAACGGTTAAACTCATTTTAAAGTACATGTATCAGTATTACCGCGCAAAAAGAAGCGGTGCCATGGTACTGCATGATGCGGTACCATGTTTATCAAAGTTTTCTTGATTTTACAACATTATTTTGCATTATTTGTATAAAATTGGTATGTAATCAGCTCGTATCAGTGATTTTTGTGATCATTTGACATATGATACTTCTTCCAAAGGATGAAAAATGTTCGCATCAAGAACACAAATGTTTTACATGTATAAAACTGTTTTCATTAGTTTAAGGTTATGATAGACAAATATTGTTGCAAAATATTTTGCACACATAGATGAATCATTCAAAACTTCTGTATTGTATGCAAACTCTCTAAATAAAATCAATTTTAGTAAGAAATCTTCGCATTTTTGAAGTTACCTCTAGCACTTTTCAGTAGATTACGTAAGAATGATACGGTGCTGTGCGCAGGATGATAGATTATCGGCGGTAAGCGGAAAAATGATGCGTATACCCTTGACACCGTGAGATTATGATACTAAAAATTTTGTTCGGTACCCCTCGGTTCAATGAGTGTGACGTAAAGAAATGACAGACAAAGTTGGGCACCAGTTACTAAGTCGTGGCCACGAGATAATTAAGTCGTGGCCACGAGGTACTAAGTTATGCAAGTATTGCGTTTGGCAATTAACGTTTCAAAACATTTAAAAGGTGAATTAAAAAGGAAATAAAATGTTCATACCAAGGCAAACATACTAAAGAACACACAAGCAGTATGGAATAGTTTGTGCTTATACGTCACGCTTTCTTTTCCGTTGCCTAGCAATGATCCGTCTGTGGTTCCGTGCTTCACGTGTTCAATTTCCACGTGGATTTTTTCACTTATGTCATTCTTAATAATGCCTTTGTCTCCATTTATATATTCCATTATTATAAATGAAACCTATCAACTTGTAAAACACTATTCAATATAAATTTTAGATAATTCAATTATTTGTATTTCTTACAGTGTCGGTCGAATGACAATTAAGCTTGTAATAAATGAAGTTTTCATGTAATGGAAAAATTTAGATTTTTATCTGTATCTTTTTTAGATGTGTTACTTTTGTTCGTTTAAAGTAAAAGTTTTTAATGTGCGCGTCTCTCAATTGTCAAGGAGCTTGGAAAGAAGTGTACATCAATTAATCCACTATATGATTACATAACTAAAACTCCAGGTGAAATATTCCCTATCGAAGGAAGTGACTGTCTAAATTAAGATGAATATAAATTTAGAAGAGATATCTTTTTGACCTTTAACCTGGTCACCTTACTGCTACATGAATACTCTTCGTGGTTCACTGTACTTTATAAAAGAACGTTTATCGAGCTTTAAGACAGATACAATCGTCTGCGTATCAACTAAACATTGCATGCAGTGAACTTTTCTATAGCTTCAGTTCCATTTGACAACTAAACATTAATTGAGCCGCGTCACGACAAAACCAACATAGTGTGTTTGCGACCAGCATGGATCCAGACCAGCCTGCGCTTCCGCACATTATCATCAGGTTCCATGCTGTTCGATATCAGTTTCTCTACTTGTAATAGGGTTGGTAAGCGAACAGAATGGATCCTGATCAGACTGCGCGGATGCGCAGGCTGGTCTGGATCCATGCTGGTCGCAAACCCATTATGTTGGTTATGTCGTGACGCGGCTCATTATTGAACAATACGGACCACCGAAACGTGTCAGTTTGCGGTTGTATCTAAATGGGAGATGTAAGCATTATAATATATTTGTAGTCAAAATTGCTTGATTGTGTGACCTTTTTTTACAGACCGGATGAGATACCGGTAATATATTGGCTCTTTACCTCGACAAATTTGTTCTTTCATGTTGTCATTTCCTTTTGCATATGTGACGTAAAAATATAGTTTAATGCCATCAGTGCTTAGAATGGTCTTGAAAAGTTCCGATTTACCGACAAATGATGTCTCGGACTAATTGTGCTTCTACAGGTATTAAAGGGGCTACACTGAGGTCTGACAGGTAATTTGGTGTCCAAAAAAAATGTAAACAAATTTCCTCGCAAATCACAATATTATAACTAAAATAACAATAACTTACACTTTAACCAATCCTCTAACAACAATTATGCTAGAAAATGCATTTTCACATTAGCTTTTGATGCAAAAATGAAAGTTGGTTTTTCCAGACATGTACAGAAGTTACCCACAATTCATCGGGTATGACTAAAATACGCAACGGACATTTTTGGAACAACAGAGTAAACGGGGTTATTGATTTTTTCTTAACACTCTAACCTATCATGTTTATATAACTTGAGTATAACGAAGAGAAACTGTATAAAAGATGATCAAGGTAGCAATTTCGTTGTCTTGAAAAATCAAACGCCAGCGAAGCGGACATTTTCTAGACAAAACGGAAAGATATTATATACATGTACAATTATTTTCATTGACATTTCAGTTTCAATTTCAATATTCTAAGGCAAACATAATGCATCGGTGATATTTATACTATAACGAGCACAGTGTAATCACACTATTAAATAAATGTATTTAACGCTATCTATAACGTATTTAAATCAAATACAGTTAATGACATGTCTCATTTGATTTGATTGTTTTTGGGAAGGAGTGGGAGTGACGTCACACAAAACTGTGTAGGTCATTTTGACTCTTCAGTTTTACTGGTGGAGTAAGAACTCAGGTGCCCCCTTTGCAAAATTGTTTCTGGCACAAACGGTCATCTGTGTATGTAATGAGTGACGTTTCGTAGGCTATCTTGATAGGATCGTACATACACGTTCAACACACAATTGCATCACATTCATACCATAGGCAAAATTAAATGCACGTTCCCTGTTGTAACAATATGAAACCCCAGAAAAAACCTATGAACCAGCTTCTGAATGTGGCATTTCTATCGTTATTCCACAAAAAAAAAAAGAATGAGTACATCAATGGGCATGCTCTGGAGTGTTGAGAACTATTACCTGCATTTCAGTTACGCACTGTGCATGTATATGAAATCGATTTAACTCTGACACATTTTCAACAGAAAAATCTTCAAACTATGATACAATAACTGTTTATGATTCTATTAGAAACTTGTTTAGAATTTAATGATTTCTCGGTGAAAACGATATAGTTTACTTGTACTACAGATAAGATCAAAGTGCTGAAGGCACTGAAGAAAAAACTGGATAAACTAACACATTTACACTTCAGTTTCACAGGTAAATTAATTTTATATATCGCGGTTTACATCTTAATATCAGCTAACCTTTGCTTTTTGAGACTTTTGTTTTTGAAAATAATCTAAACGAGTAAAATAAACCCTCTTTTATGGGCAAATGATTTAAGTATCATCCCCGATTTCTCTTTCATAAATTGGCTTTAGCAAATTCTTTGCTATTCAAATATTAAGATTATTCTGTCAGTGACGTGTCTTCTACTTGAAATTTTCCTGTTGTGTATTTTTCGGTAACAGGAAGAAAATGACAGTCTGTTCATTTGATCATGACTGTGAAAAATCATGTTTTGTGAACCAATTTATCCTGCCGATAAAGATTTTGCAAGCAATCTGGTGGTTTATGTTTTAGTGCTTACACTTAGTATTTAATTCCAAAGAACATTTCTTAGGAGACCTTTAACGTTTGATAACGGTAATTTTAATCATTGGTTCTTGTTGCTGGGTCATATGGGGGTTGTGTTCTTTGAACGCCGCCTTTCCTTGTTGATCTTGTTTATCATATTTTCACTATAACCGAAATACTTAGGAATTACTGTTACTGTGAAATTTTTCGTTCATGTGTTTAAAATACTTAAGGAGCTCTATAAATTTTCAAAACGGTATCCAGTATTTCCAAAACAATTTACAAAGGCTTTTAATACACAATCATATAAATCTTAAAGTATTACGAGAACCACCCACCTAATTTCCAGAACATACATACGAAAAACAAGATAAATCAAAAGGCTGCAAGCTCTGTGGTATTATTTGATCTTTGCAATCTAAATCGCATTGTATAACTGTATTATTTTCCTATATCAGTTTATTTTTATGTACTTTTATTCTTCATGCTTGGTACCAGAGTTTGATACATATGGAATTTTGCATGACTAGAGTTGCATCAAAAAATCATTTATGTTCATTTTTATGACAGACACACTTTATCCTTGAATATCGTGGCTATTTACTTAACAAAGAAACTTTATAAAAAATAGTTGCCTTGAATTGGATTTGAACCCCAGACACACTAAACGAGCGCGTAACGCTTGCACCACGGAGAAGATATATGAACAATGCCTGAATACAATCAAGTAATACTTAATTTAGATTTTCCATTGCATTTCTGGTTTGTAATCCTTATTAATTTCGAGGTTTTTTGTTCAGGATAAAAATGTTGTTTAACATTGATGTAAATAATTTAACAAAAATATTCTCGCCAAAACAGTCCGACATGTATATATTCCACTACTCGACAGTCAGATTTATTTGTGAAATACGCTCTCGACATCGCTTAAAATAGCATTTTCATTGAATAAAATGATATTCATCCGCGTAATTTGTGAATGTGCATTCATGGACAATTCTATAACCCAAAGCTACTTTTAAACTTTGAATGCATTGTAATTTGTTGGATACTTATAACAAAATGAAAATATTTCTTTCTTTTAAATCGCTAGTTTTCAGCTGTTTTAAGAACTGCTTGTTGTTAGGTTTGTCATGAAACCGCTGTGTCAGAGATTGAATGTTAGCTTTGTATTTCCTGATCTTCGATCAGAAATACAAAAAGGAATGGTAACATTCAATGAATGCAACACCCACACGACCAAGCAACACAGGACCACAGCTAAATTATCAATAAAAAAAATAATTTTAGGCTTTCAAGTGGTAAATAAAAAGACTAAACAAAAAAAAATGAAAAAAAGGAAGAAAGAAGAGACAAAAGTAGAGAAAAAAAGGTTTTAGTGCTATAAAGCAAGAAAAGCAGGGTTCTCTTCCTAGCAATGAAATGCACCCGATCAGTATTTAGCCATTGCAGTTTTTGAAACTAGTCACTCGTGTTTTCAAAATAGTCGGGAAATGAACCTGACCTTTTTTATAAAAATATTTACAAAACTATTAACAATGAGTGTGCCATGATAAACAGGCTATAAGGAGGAAAAACAATGGTTAAGATATGCATTGCCCTTTCCCAAGTTTTGTATACCGCCTAGGAGTTGGAAGTATTATAAAACATAGTTTAAGCAATGGTTTTTGTATGAGGTGAGGTTAATAATATCTTACTGAATTCTTAAAGTTACTTTTACTTACCTGCCCTTCACATTTGTCTTGCAAGTATCATGATTTTGTTTGTTTCGTTTAATTTGAAAGAAAATTAGGGTTTAAAGAACAACAACTATATAATCAGTTTTAAGTTTATTTCACTAGTCACGGCAGCTGTGGAAGCTTGACTGTGCCGGGGGCTGCGTCCTGTGAACGTTGCCGTCGCCTTGTTTGTCTTTATTCCAGTTTTCCTTTTTTACTCTTATAACGCTCTCAACTTCTTTCCACCGGGAAGCTTCAATATATTGGTAACATTAAATCACAGCTCAATTGACCCATCACTAGTACGGAGGCCTTCCTATAAGAAAGAAATTTATCAGTATATCTGCTGTATCAATAATGATAATAATAATATTAATAGAGCCAGATTGTAACTCTTTTTCGACCTTCTTGATAATGTTTACCATGTACATGAAACATGTATCAATTACCTATAGTTTTGAATGTCTAGATCAAAACGTAGTAATCTTCTCATCAACAAAGTTTACATCCAATGCGATAAAATATGCAAGTATGTATGTTAAATGATAAATATTAAATTTCAGATCTATCTAGCAAAGGAGATCGATTTTTTCTTATAGAATTTTAATTATATGCACTAGACATACATAAGAAATATTAACTAATAAAGTTGAAGCCTAAATGTCCTATAATGAGGCCGGATTCTTTCTCTATTTAGCCAGTGCTTTCAGTGCTTTGATCAGAGTTAAAGAGAAATCTCTGGAATAACATTCTGTGTGTGCGTGTGATTTTTTATGCTTACAATACTCAAGTTCATTTTCGTTGTATAAAAGGTATTACGAAGTTTTTTTTCCTGAACACGTGTCAGATAAACCAAAATGACCTTTAAAATAGGACCCATTTAATACAATGATTGACAAAGTAAATTTTCTTAGCCTAGATATCATGATATTTTTGCCATTACAAAGTTAATACATAATTTTTAATAATTACACGAAAGCTCTCAAATTAACATAGAACATTTGTAAAATTTGTGTATGTCAGTTTCCAACTCCGTACGTTTAGCTAAATTCATCATTGTAATGGAGAAAAAAAACATGATTACAACAATGTAATACTTTAAATATTTTGAAATTGCTTTTGAAAGATTTTTCTCACAAGAACATATGTGAACAACAAGAAATTTAACAAACAAACCCATAATTTGCTTTTAAATTTATGGATTGTTGGTATATTCCACTTTCGCACATTCGTTGCTGCCGATACACAAAAAATTCTCCGTTTCGCTTTTTAGTCATCCCGAGAATCATCACGTGACCGTTGTTTTTATTCAGATTTGCAAACTGAAAGGTGTTTAAACGCTTTTCCCACAAAATTGGAGAAAATATGTATTTCAAACGACTTGCCAATCCAAAGAACACATATCAATGTATCACTGATTCTGTTTGAATGTCCCTAACTCGCAGGTAACAAAAAAATATCGGTTCGTGAAATTTTACTTTTTTTTGTGACATTCGGCCGTACTTCAGTGGAGTACCTTTAATACACGAAAAAAGTGCATAAATTTACCACTTTTGTTGTCATGATATAGGGACATGCAACTATTATATATGGTTAGAGATTACACCACTTAAGATAAGAGTATTACAAGACTGTCGACCTTCATATCGTGAGAGGATCATATACTTAAACTGTACAATAACTAAACTTTCATATATCGCATAAAACCTAAAGAAATTTTAAGATATTAACGTTTAAGATTTTCTGCGTAGTTTAGCCCTGGAAACGGGATAAAGTTTTTATCCCTTAAATACTCCAACTTGGACTCCCAAACAAAATTTATCCCGTTTTCAGGCTTAAACCAGACAGTAAAACTTTAAACGTTTTTTTTAACGATTTATATCAAGTACTAAAGCCAATATTTGGTGCGCTTCGTTTTTTTTTCTTTATATTCAAACGATTTTAAGAAGAAAAACATATTTTCGAGTCGAAAGGGATAGGAACCTTGTGCAGGTGTGCGATAACTTAGTATCCTCCGGTGAAATTCCGTTGACGTAGCCCCAAAACTTACCAAACTCCCCGTAGCGGTTACTTCCCCTGATCAGTAAAGTAGCAAAGGGTGACAACCGCTGTGGGGAGTTAGAGAACTTACTAAAACAAGTTAAATACGAACAGTATCGTATATCTGCTGCCCAAAAAATATTTGATTTTCAAAAACAGAATACTTTCAAAATGTTTGTACGAAAAAAACCTTTAAAATGTGAATGGCATATGTACGAAATCATTGCTAAACGGATAAAAACCCTCTTTAAAGTATAAGAATAATATTTTGTTCTGGAACATTTTATTCTGTTTTTCGTACAAAATTTATGTGTGTTAAATAATAGAGTCATCTACTGTTACAACTTTTTCGAGAATCGACCATAAGATTATAAAAGCAATATAATATATTTGTTGATAAAAACGTTTAATGCCTTAACAGATATAGAAATGAACAGTCAGGCATTAACACTGAATACAAACAGAAAAAAAATAAAAGGCAGGAAATATTATAACATGAATCACTCCAAATAGAAATAAACAAAGAGTTTGTTATATTGTAAAAACAATAATTGTTCACGAAATGATGAGTCACTTGTGAATGACTTCCTACTGGAAAGCTGACATTCGTTTCTTGTTGTTGTTGTTGTTGTTGTTGTTGTTGTTGTTGTTGTTGTTGTTGTTGTTGTTTCTTTGTCCTTTTCATCAATGTTATACATGTACACTCGGGACCAGTCTTCAGCTCCCGAGCTGCAAAAGTGAAAGGAATTATATTAATATAGAATTTTTGAAAACGTAATTTTTCATGCAACTTTGCACTGCATATCTTAGAAAAGAATCGGCCTTGTACTGTATAAGTTTTATAAGTATTATTTATATTTTATATCTGTATTGTATAAGTTGTATGTGTATTGTTTAAGTTTTATTTGTATAATATGAGTTTTATATGTATTGTATATAAGCTTTTCCATATTAAATTTTTTCTCCATATTCATCCACCGTGTAAGTTATGGTACAAGTAGTATTATTACCATGAATCACCATACTTGACCATGACAATGTACTAACATTTCCTAAGTACCCTCTTCAATAAAGAAGAGTTAACTATGCGACGCGGAAATCGGACATCCGTTTATCCGAACGCTAGCTATACGAGTACTCATCCACTTATACAGCGGCATTGTTTATAATTCCTTATTTGGAATATGGATTTGCTTTCCGCGTATTAATTGATGCGACAAAATCATTAGGGATTAATTGCACTATTTCTATGATTCAAGAAATGAAGGCTTGTGTCTGACACATATCCGCATTTTGGTTATATATTAATATAAATTAATATATAAACAGAATCATTTTGTTCAACAAAACATTATTAAAAAACTGCTTGATTGTAATTCAATAACTGTTGGACGAGTAATTGTTGTAAATATGATTTACATCGCGAACGCTTTAAGCGTTGGAATCTTGGCTTGCTTTCTGGCAGGAACAACAGCCCAGTTCCCGGCTGATCCAAACTACGTCTTCGACTGCGCACTCCCTCCGGGGTGTCCTAATAAAACACAGGTATGTTCAATACTTTACAATTCTCACATATATATTTATCTGTATGTACATATTTATTTTTTCTATACTTATAACTAATGTCTAATCTACTTAAAGGCCCATTATGCCTCTCATAAATGCTATCAATTTCATTTCTAAAAACACTTTTTTATTTACATTTTCCAAAATGTATACATATTTGCTATATACATGAACTAATTTTTTTTTGGTAAATTTAGATATATTGGTAATTGGTATAATTATAGTGAATGAGTATTTTGTATGGAAGTCAAAATATTATACTTTGTTTACATTTTGCTACCTATACGACACATTACTGCATTTTCATCGCTACTTTCTTAAGTATTTGAACGTGTAACATGCTCTACATTAATTATTGAAACATTATTGGACACATGTTTGACATTTTTAAAGAATTAAAAAATATGAATTTCTTAGGGGTAATGTGCCTTTTATAATAATAGCCAGATTGGATATTTGAAAACAAAATAATTATGCATTATTCACGAATGTTTAGACATCAAATTAGACTTTCTGAAATATATAATCATGACGATGTGTTTTGTTTTAATTTGACTCACTAACTCGAATCGAAAAGTCATTATTTCAGCTATAACGTTTCGTTTAAAATGAATATCTTATATTTATATAAAATTATAGAAAGATAAAAACATGCTAAATGTTAATGACGTTTTCTGGAAAAGGATAATGCTATGGTCATGAGTCAGTCAATAAGAAGTAAGACTTGGCAGGTGAAAAATGCAACTATATAGCATGTTGCTCACCCGTCATACATATACTCGCATTAAAGCCACATTATGCATTAGAAACGAATAAAAATGTCTTCTTAAGAAAGCGACTTTTCAGAATTTTATAACGTTAAAATGCTTTTCACATGAAGAAATGTAGCGCTGATTGAGAATTCATTTGTCATCAAAGCAGTGTAATGTCTACAAAGAAGTATTTTAGCTTCCGTATAAAATGCTAAATCATAAATCAAGAATCTTAATAACTGAACTAATGAATTAAATCTGATTGGCAAGTAATTAACTTTTTTTGACATTATAACAGGAAATAAAAAAAATATGAAGTTTTTGAGAAACAGAAAATAAAGATTTCTGGGGCGTAAGCGGCCTTTAAAGAATGTATTTTACAATAATATGTTCTTTCAGTAGGATATCAATCGAGTAGTACACTTGTATAATAAGTTATATTTCCTTTATTTTCTTACATGAATATACATATAATATGATCTAAGACAAATCATTTAATCAATATTATTCATGTTTAATAACCCAGCTACTTTTTACGTGCTTAGAAAACACAGAAGTTTGATATTAGATGGATTTGATCGTTGGACATTTAGTATTTTCAACAAAAGTAAGTTAAAATGATTTTCATATAAATGATATTTACAAGAAGATGAATTCTGTATGCTTAAATTAAGTGAGTCATCTATCCTCATTACTTTTACAGGAATATTTACTTGCATACGGCTATCTGAATCCGGAAAGACCGTGCATAAAAGATGACATAAAAACAGCTCTGACAGCCTTCCAGACGATGAACTTAGGTTATATGGATTTAGAAATAACCGGTGAATGTGACGCTACAACCGTTAAGGTTATGAATCAGCCAAGATGTGGTTGCGAAGATATCGTCAAATTTCAGAAGAAAATGATGCCACAAAATTTTATAGGGCCTCAAGAATACCGTCTCGGAACAACAAAATGGCGTAAAAAGGAGCTGACATGGAGTGTACTGAAATATCCCGAAAATCCTAGAACAACGTCACGAATATCGCGAAGTCAAGTAGATGACGCAATGAAACGCGCCCTTGACATTTGGGCAAAAGAAACGACCTTGACCTTCCGAGAATTGAAAAACAACCCGAATGCAGATATAACAATCAAATTTGAGACCGGAAGACATACTACTAGCCCGCCATATTACGATTTTGATGGGCCAGGAAACGTACTTGCCCATGCTTTCTTTCCCGAGTCCGGTGTTGTTCATTTTGATGATGACGAATTCTATGTTTTAAACAATAATGATGGAACTGAGCTATATATAGTAGCAGCACACGAATTCGGTCATACTCTTGGCATTTCCCATTCTAACATTAACAGTGCCCTTATGGCACCGTATTACAGTTATTCCCCGACATTACAACTCGATCAAGACGATATCGCCGCCGTTCAAGCGTTATATGGGAAGTCGAGTAACAGAGTTACAACTACCCAAAGGCCGACAAATCCTCCAACAACCAGCAAAACAACAGGAATAACAAATCCACCAACTCCACGACCAACAACACGACCTTCACCACAGCCAGACTATTGCAATATGCGGATCAAGGCGTCCTTTGAAATTGAAGGTAAGACATTCTTATTCACCCGAGAAAAAGCTGGCTCTTGGCGAACAAAAACATATGTGTATGAATTCAGCTCATCTAAGAGTGGCCTTACATTCAAAAGCCGGAAACCAATCGAAGAAGTGTTTATGAAAACCGGAAGTAGACGTTATCCACGTGCTTACCCATACAGAGTGGATGCAGCTGCATATATCCCTGATAGAAGATACATATTCCTTTTTAGTGGCACAAGAGCTTATCGTTACAGTACCAACGGGAAAACGGAAGGGCCGTTCAATCTCGATAGAAACGAAGGGTTTCCAAAGTGGATGGACGTCAGTGAGTTCCCGGAAAGACCAAGGGCAGCCGTTGCTATGCCTTACTCGAGATATAATGCATACTACATGCTTATTTTCGGCACAACGATGGTGTGGGATTGGAATTTCTACACTCAGCGTGTTGGGGCATGGGCGTATCCAATTGACGTATTTGGTAGAAACATGCCACAGCGTGTGGACGGCGCACATTTACAGAAGTCTAAACGAAATGTTATTTTCTTCAAGACTGATAAATTCTACAATTTTGACATCAACTACCGGCGTGTTGTGGATGCAGCTGCGAAAGACGTCAAGAAAGACTTCTTTGGAGGAAATTGTGGTTAACCTATGTCATGCTATACTGTATATTGTATTCACTGTTGCATCTTCACAAAATAAACATGCAAGTAATCTTGCAGTGTAATCATTGTTAGCGTTGTTATAGGTAATAGTATGTATTGTTGACATCGGGAGCACAACGCCTGAATCACCTTATACCGTGTAGGCCTATATTGAAGAATGTTCGGAATACTTCTATACTTATGTATATCTATTGAATACTTTACTCTTGTCAATGGCGTTATTTATAGCCATAAATATTTTTTATATTTATTCATTGTTTTATGAACGTCAACATTTACATTTCTATGTGTACTAATAAAGAAATAACAATAAATGTGATCAAAATATTAAAGCTTGTTAAGTCTAAGTCTGTTGGTTGCAACATAATAATTCACCATTTGATCCAGTCTTATCAATTCAGCCTCATTTTTGTTTTATGATAGCCTCATTTTCGTTTAATGATAGCCTCATTTTCGTTTTCCGAGTTCAAACAGTCCATATCAAATCCATATCTTACCTCTGATAGCCCTGTTTCATTTCCAGAGTCAAAAAGGTTCATATAAAATCAATTTCACATCCATATAACATCGTTTTTATTTCCGAGCAAATCCATATCGCACACCCTCTAGCCTCGTTTTCAATTCTTAAGAGTCCGAAATCCATATCAAATCCTTATTGTAATTAAGGTACAATGGAAGTTTCTTCAAAATGTCAGAGATGGCGGTGAGAAATAAAGTACCTGTAATAAACGCATTTCATAATTAATAACATATACATACTATCTCACAGCAAACAATCAATATGTCTTCTGCATACCCTTTAAAGTAAAGAGCTGCCTTCCGGGTCAGCTTTATGGATTATACTTCGAATCTGAAAAAATATGTGTTATGCTTACTAACCAATGAAGCTTGAAATATAGCAACTTTGAATATTTAGATGCTAAATTATCCAAAATGGTCTCTTATTTGTAAATTAGACCATGGCCAATTCAAAACTAAACGACCAAAAAGTTCTGTGTTCTGCCTCCTGTGTTTCGATAGAGCAGAAGTAAGTGCGCGAGCATGCTCTTTGTCATATCTGACGTTCAGTAACCGTTCACGTTAGAGACTTCAAGCCTATAATCAGCCGTTGCTTTGTTTTCCCTTAATATAAATCAATCCGGTGCCCTTAAAAATTTAAGCGGCTACAAATTTATTACTGGACAAAACATTTTTCTAAAACCATTATATTATCGCGGAATGTCCTTTTTCTATAAAAAAAAAAAAGCTATAAAATGCCAGAAAAATCAAAGATAATAATGATTTTTATTGGCAATTTTATGCTAGTGTTTACTACTACTTCTCTGAAATATGAAATTTGTTTTCCGATTCCAACAGATTAAAGACCGTTATCAAACCTTATAAAGTTGTATATGAATTCCTGAAACATTGCAATGTTCCATGCAAGTAGAAGATTCACAGATTAAAAGATGTAAATGTGTTTATTTTATATATTTTCTTACCTTGTCAAGCTAAAAATCCATTTTATCTTAATCAATCCGGTACCATAAATCAAAATCAGTTCAGGAACGGAGAAATATTCAAAATCAGCCAAAAACGATTCGCACTGTGGCTTATGTAAATAAAAATTTAAAAAATGTTGCAGACTCGGTTTGATTGACCCTGTTAGGGACACTGTCAAGAACAAACTACCGTCCACGCCCCATATCACCGACTTAAACAGAATTTTGAGCAGATGTATTCATCATCGGTTATCATGGTATTGTCACAAAGTAATAGGATTAAGGTGTGCCCTAAACAAGAAAACAATGGGCGAACAAAACAAATAGAATTTTGAAAGGTGATCAGAGGTTAGATGAATATCACAGATAAGACGTCAAAAGACAAAGTTAAAAAGCAGGTAACATATCCTAAACACGGGGTCAATGGTTTATGCATCATTTGTCCGCGCACTGTCAACAATTTATCATCCTGCACCTTCGCTGATCAATAGACAACAGTTAGCAATAAATTGATGGTTACCGTTTTCTACTGTCGTAGAAAACCAGGAGAGCGAAACAGTACAATTTAGGTTTTGTACTTTCGTTTTCGACAAAATGGCCGACCATCAAAGGAATTTTGCAAGATCTTAACAAATTTGAGTGTCCGAGTTTAAATGTAAGTTATTTAAGATTGTATGTAAGGTAGAAGAAGAATGTTAACAATTTTCTAAATGCATGATGTGTAAAGAGTAGCAAAATAGCTTGTATTGTCACAGAACACGACATTATGCGTGTCCTATTAAAGCTCCGTAGCGTTACGGCGACAAGGTGACCTTTACGTAGTAATGGTATAAAGGAAAAAACTTCTTTTTTTCAATTATTTTTCTTACACTCAACCCAAAATATATGTATTGATGTATTTTGGGGTTTTTTTTAACTTCAATTTTTTTTATACGGGCACCAAGACTGGACGAGCACCTGTCTCCACACGGCACAAACAATGCTGTGGCGACCTAATGAAAGTCCAAAACGAAAAAAAAAACTTATATGTTTACCACGCAATCATATACTATAGATAGGAAGCAAATAAAATAAGATTAATTGAAAATTTAGATAAATATAAAGGTCCATTTAAAAGGAGAATAATTTGTTTCTGATTTTTTTTTTTAATGCGTTTATTTAAGGTCGCCGCCGGAAAGCCCATATGGGCGACCGTACACTCAAGTCGGGTCATCCTAGAGCGTCCCGCCGAGATTTTTCGTCGATTTTTTTTTCCAGCTTTATTGGTGGAGGAAGACCCCAGGTGCCCCTCCGGGCATTATTTCAGGCACGAGCGGGCACCTGGGTAGAACCACCGACCTTCCGTAAGCCAGCTGGATGGCTTCCTCACATGAAAGATTTCGACCCGAGTGAGGATCGAACCCACAGTGGTGAGGGACCTGTGATCTCAAGTCAGCGACTTTAACCACTCGGCCACGGAGGCTTGAGCTTTTCCCGAGTCCCTTTAACGTAGTATAAGGGGAAGGAACTCCAGAGTAGCGCTGAATGTCAAATTATTTTCAATAAAAACAAAATATAAATAATTTTGACTTCCGTACAAAATACATAATCGCTTTATTTGTACTACTTTGCTAAAAAGATTACAAGAGCAAGTTAAGATTCCCCACATATCCGACCGATTGACAAAAATTGTACTTGGCTTTTAAGAAATTTAAATAAAAGCATTTCGTCATTATCTCCCTTTAATTGCTATTGTTAACATTCAATATTAAAAAATGGCTTCTCGGGCTATTATAAATTTAATTGTAAACGAAATTGCGTAAATGTTTATACGAACTATATGTTTAAATCAAATTGGATGGGTTTTACTTCAAATTGTAACTGACTTTAATTTTAGAGATTATTATGTTTAAGTACGAAGTTAAATCCCTTCTCTTTAACAGACGGAGACTATTTCTATATGTAATCCCCCGCCGTGGAAAACATATGAATGTAATTTTGTATGCTCATATAAATGAGCAAACTAACTCATATCAGATCGGCTTGTTGAGTACGAAGGGAACAAATGTTCTCACCAATTACTCTTATCAGTTTAATCAAGTATAATAGATAATAAACGATACTCTGTTGAATACACGTACCCGAGTTCGATTCTCGGACGGCGCAGGTCACTTTCGTTGTGATTGATCATGAAATCCTTTCCACGGCCATTCGCACTGTACCTCTGCTCTAGCGTGTATCAAAGTTTCAGTTCCTTGCGAAATTGATGACAATAAATGAATTAGTACTGGTATATAAACTGCTTCGCAGCCTGCTCAGGTACGGTGGTTGAACTGTGCTCTGGTGAATTCAATGTGGCTTACTGTCGTGATCCGGAGTGAAAACTACCAACACCACCACCATACTCGTATCATGATTTGCGTATTAATATAACGAGTGTTTTGAGTAGGGTTAATAAATATTGGGGCATATTTTTCCTGTTCTTTATCATTTAACTTAAAATTACTATTGCTTATTTTTATTTTTTTATATTTTTTTTTATTTATAAACAAAACTCATGGCCCTTAAGGGCATAATCTTGAGTGAACAATCAACAAAACAAATCATAATAATACAAGCATGGCATGAAGTAAATAAGTAAATAAGGAAGATGACTTATTGAAATTTCTGCATTATAGCTTTGACAAAAATGGCTAGATTAAATAAAGTATTTCTGTTGTCGCTACACATTAGAGCCTGAAAATTTAAAATACTAGGAAAACTTAAATGATAGTTACTGATATGCCTGTGTCTTTCTTGATTAAAATAAGTACATTTAAAAATATAATGAAATTCATCACCAATTTCTTGCTGATTACAACGTGAGCATGTTCTATTTTCTCTTTCAATACCAAAATAGCGACCTTTCTCTATAGGAATATTAGAATTGAGACATCTTAATTTACAGAGAACAATTGCTAAATTTCTTGGTAAACATAGTAAATAATGTTCTAATTTAAATTGAGTTTTATATACTCTATAGTTTGCTAATATACAATATTAGATAATGGCTTCTAAAGACATTATAAATTAAATTAATTGACGAATTTGATTTTAATGTTATTACGAAGTTAATGATGAAATCTCTGACAGAGACCAGTCATAGACACGTCGAGGCTATAGGGGGCATAGCACTAGAGTATAAATCAGATTACCGGGGGTGGGGGTGATGTTCAAAGGCAAAACTGTTGTCACAATATGAAGCCCTAAAAAAACTTATGAACAAGCATCTGAATATGATATTAATATCTCAATCCCTTTCTCTGCCGTCACAGTAATTAAATCCCAGAGAAAAAATATCCAATCAATGGGTATGCTTTGGCGTGCGGTTAACTACACTTAACGAAACTTATAAGTACTCCAATTTCAAACTTGCAGGAAAACTCCGGTTTTCAAAATATATACCAAAGCAATGTTGAAAATGTGTACTGACTCTACTTTCCTCTTGCATGAATGATTTTAAAACAAAATCAATCATCCGAAACGCAATATGGCGGTCACATGCAAAAACCCGAAAATGGGCACGTGCATTTCGTGCAAGATGCCCACATTGTGTATTTTGATGCAAATTGTTAGTTTATTGATGTGCCTAACATAAAAACACAAAATGGCCCGAATGTCGCTGCAACAAAGAGGCAATGCAATTGGGCTATTACAGGGCGGCGCATCGCATGCAGAGGTATGAATTGACTAAACTTGAAGGTATTTGATTTTTTTTACAATGGTGATCTCAGTTACTGATTTTCTGTTAAGTTTGAGTTATTGTAAAATGCATTTACTATTATAAAATGATGATACTATGATTAAAGTTTATACAGTATCGACTTAGACTA